CACTGATGTCACACGGTGCTTCCAGTCCTCTGGAAAATCAGCTACTCTTAATTGTAGCCTGTCCCATCCTATGGCAAGTGCCCCATCCTGCTGGTCACTCCTTCACTTTAAAAATCAAGAGCACCCACTGTCAGACATGAGGATGATGGGCCTCATTGCACCTCCAACCTCTGCTGCCCTTGGTGAACAACTCGTACATTGCAGGCACCCTCAACTGGCACCTGTGGTGTCCCCAGACTGTGTGGGTGCCAGGGATGCCACACAAGTCCCTGCTGATGAAGAGGGGCTGGGTGTGCTTACATGCACAACTCATTTTTCCCCAGGCTTTTTAGCTGCAATATGGCTCTAGAGATAAGTTTTCCTACTGTAGAGGAGCTTGGCAGGTATCTCAGATGTCTTTTGGGCAACATAGCGATTCTCTTTTTTCGATATTTGCAAGCTTCCAACCCCAAAGCTGTCCTTTCTATTTCAGAACAAGCTATGCTCTGGGGAAAAAAAAAAAAAGAGACCAACAGAATAATTTGTTTAAGACTCAGATTCACAGCAGCAAGTAAGATATAATTGTACCCTTTGATCTTCAAAGATATCATCCAGTGTCTGCTGAAGTCAGTGAAAGCCACTCTGTTTGACTTCAATGAACATTTATAATATACAACTCAGAAATATCCTTCCATTTTATCTATACATGTCTGATGCCTCTCTGGTGAAAATAAACTTCAGTGTGTAAGTTTGGGTGTTTTAACATAATTTTATGTGGCATGAAAGTGTTTCGTATTTGAACATGAAAGGGATAAAATTTGTTTGCCCTGAAAAACACAACTGCTATTAAAGAAACGTGTGGCATCAAGCCCACATCACCTAATAGTTTATACAACACTTGTAGCTGCATCAGCATTGCTGAAACAAGTGCTCAGTTGCTAATGAGCTGCCAGCCAAGCAGCAGTGCTGCCATTTGAAAACCTTTCTGGTCCTTGGCATCTGCCTGTATGAAAGATCTATGATATATAAGCCCAGAAAAATATCTTCATTATGTCAGATTAATTCTGCACATGGTCCAGTGTTTTAGCCTACTGTAAAACTGGAACTATCTCTATGTAAATGCACTAAATAATTATCTGAGATTTGCCTCGATGTGGGGGTTTGGCATTTTCCATTGTCTTCTTCATCCCTACATCCATCCTCAGCAGCAAGTGTTACAGACTAGTCCGGAGGGGAAGGTTTAGTACCATGAGGAATTTGTAATAGAAATCAAATATTAGTACAAGCAAGATGATATCTTGCCCAAATGAGACTTGATTACATTATTAATCTTGATAGTTATACAGGATTTTGCGTGCATGTGATTTGAATACTGGATTAAAAAGCCAGGAGATGAGCCACTGAGACGATTTGCTTCCTTGGGAGATCCAGGCAGAAAGGTGCATTTACCACTGAGTAAAATTTTCATGGGCTCTGGTGTAAATTTGGAGGATTTCATCCTGCTTGGATGCTGATGGAGGCCTTTCCCTGTAGGAATCCTGGACCAGAGCTACCCATCATTGAGGCCACACGCAGCAAAGCAATTCAGCACGTGCTTGAGCAGCCCAGTCACTGAGGGGAACTCTCTGGTGCAGTTCAGCACATGCTTGTGCTTTTGATAAACAGGAATGGTTTCAATGACACATTAATGATTACCAGCATTGTGGTCTCAGTACATGTTCTTCAAACATGTCATCACCTAATGGGATATTCCCTTTTGTGCACGACCATCCCTGTGGTGTCTCATCTCTTGCTTCCAGCCCAGCTTCTGCTTCATCCTCTTTACCATTATTGTTTGTACATCTTTGTACACCCCTTTCCATCTCATGGTGTTTTCAGTCAGGGGAGCACCAGGCTGTGGTCTCACTCCTGGGGTGATGCATCCCATGGGGTTGGTGCTGTGGGAAGGTGCCCTCACCAGAGTCAGGCTCTGCAAGCTCAGCCAGGGCTCCCCTGGCACTGGAACCTGGAGCATCTCTGACCACGGAATGGTCTGTAAATATATATTAAGGTTCTTGTAGACTAGATCTCAAACACTTCAAAGACCAAATATTTCACATTTGGAGTGTTTGACATCTGATTTATTTTTTTGTAACAGACTTTTTATTCCCTAATTTTTGTATGAACTACTTGTAATGGGAGGGGTGGGGTGTGATAACTCAGTGCTTGATCCTTATATTTACTTTTCAGTAGGATTGCTCTAGTTCTCCCACCTGCTTTTTGAAGGCTACTCATAGGGCGTGCAGTTCAGCAAAGCAGAATGTTACAAGAAATGATAATTTTTTTCTGTAAAAATCACTGAAACCGCATTTTGAGTGCTGATTTATTTGTTTATTTTAATTACACCAGGATAGTTGCCATTCCTCCTTGTGCCCTAGAGACTGTTAGGAATCTGGTGTGATAGAGAAACAGCCGCTAGAGAATCTTTGGAAGAGTAAAGACATGCCTGTGTTCGGTGTGTAGGAGTCATGTGTAATAGAGAATAATCTGCTGTTGGAATGGGAATTACTGGCATTTCTAAAGAGATTGAAGTTTTGGACCATGTAGAGGGAAGAGCAAGTTGTGATCATAATCACTAGCTTTGAATTTTACTTTTCAGGCACTTTCTAACTGTTAGGTTTGGGGTGGAATGGTATTAACACAACCATGTCCCTGTATGGGATGTAATGCAGCAACGCTTCCAAGAGCTGAGCCTGAGGCTTTCCATGGGATCATACTTAATAAGGCAAGGGCAAGCAATTATTTTAATTTTGATTTAAATCCCTGAGAGTTATTCCACTGTTTCCCTACTCCTTAAGACCGAAGCCCACCTCAGTGCAGCCCACAGTGATGCTGGCCCTCTGACAGCTCTTTCTTTGGTGACAGGCACTTCACGTGTGTTTTCCCCAGCAGAAAGATGCAGGCAGGAGAGGGGATGTAAAAAGATCAGGACATAAAGCTAGTGAGAAACCACAAGCACAGGTGATACTGCAGGTAGCAATGGAGTATGCACAACTGAGTGGGTTGGATTTGGTGCTTATGGATAGTTTTGTGATTGGTGTTTCATTCTTGCTGGTTTCAGAGGAATTATTCTGGGTGAGGGATTGTTATCATTTAAAATATAAACTGAGGTGAGGGCAAGGTGACAGGAGAGAAGAGGATGGAGTAGCAGGCACTGAGGGGAAAGTGTTCTCCATGGTGTGGGAGATTAAGGGGGCAAGGAGAGGAGCCTGTGTGGATGGAGTGCCTTGCAAAGTTTAGGTGCCAGCATGGACATGAGATGTTCTTATGTTAGGAGAAACCTTGGGAACCAGGTACAGCCGTGGTGAGAGATGGGCACTGTGATGGAGGCCGGGCCTGTTGGTGTCTCTGGTGCTGTGTGTCAGTATCAGTTCATGCCACAGAAACCTAACCCAGCATCGCAACCGGAGAGTGTAAATGCCACTGTGTTCCCAGGAATGTTTTGGAGCTCCTGCCGTTAAAGATTACCAGATACAGCTGGGATCAACTGACCATAGCTCAATTTTAATGGTGCAACAGTGACAACCAGTGGCCAGCTGGGCTAATCCGGGACAAGTGCCATCCCTCCAAACCAGAGCTGGGTGCTCTGGGGCTCTTGGCTCCCAGAAGGGACTGTACTCACACTGTAGCTCTGCTCAAGTGGTGGGAGATACCCCACCAGAGAGGCTTCTGAGAGTGGCAGTCTTTGATATTTCCATCTTCAGGGTCACGATTCCAAATTGCTAATGGGTGAAATGTTAGCATAGCAGTTTGGGGCTGAATTTCTGGTACTGGCTACTCAGCTGCTGGAACAAATTTTAGGACAATGTTTGATGTAAATGATTGGATAAGGCAGAGCACGGGTGGGAGAAGGGCTTGGGCTAAGCCTCTACATTTGGAGTTGTGCTTTCCCTTCAAAACCTTTATTTCCGTATTGCATCCTTGTGTGTTGCAAATGGACGTGACCTCAGATGCAGCACAAAGAGTACATGGTTGAGCATCTGATGTATGACTTTGTTTTTCCCTCCTCTTAGCCTCAAAAAAATCACTTAGACCCCAAAGTGCTTGTGTTGCTCTTTGTGTGCAGAAGACCCCATTGTTGGCCAAACACTTTTATCGCGGGGAAAAGCAGAAATCCCACAACGTGCCTCCACCTGGACACTGTTGTATCCCACTCACAGCATCCCAAGGACTCAGTGCTGTGATTATCACGCCATCTTACTGCAGTCCTTCCCCTCCCAAGAGAAGTTTGGGGCTGTGAGGGAGCTGGCAGGGCTTAAGGTCCTCCTGCTCTACATCTGCCATCTGTTTTGGGCAGGCCTTGGTCCCTTTCCCAGGGAGGTGGCAGCATCCCTTCCCGGGGCCACCACAGGGCAGGCACATGGGGGAGGGCAGCCTTTGCTTCTCCCCTGCACGTTTGGCAGTTCAAAGGCTGCTGCTCCTCATCGCTGCTCTCAAATCAGTGGATGACACCGATGTGAATATCTGGTTATAGCACAGAGGGAACTGCGGCTTCGTAACGTGGGTTTGAACAGCTCAAGGATTGCCAGTAAGGTGCCATTTGCAAGACCTGGATTGATTTTTGAGAATTTAGGATGAAGGTAAGCCCCTTGTGAGCTGGCACATGCGGCCCAAGGGTATTAGCCCCTCTTGTGTGGTGGCCGGTGCTGGACCAAGCTGCCCCATGGGCATCTGTGATGCCCCTGAGACACCAGGAACCACCTTGGGCCTTGGTGGGAAAATTTTGCTGAAAACCAAAAAACTCTAGGGAAAATTATTTGATCTTTCTTGTTTCAATGCAAATATGCTGTGTGTCTCAGTTTGGGGCTTCTTGGGTGAGTTGCAGCTACCAGTGATGTGGTGCTGCTGTCAAACTGCAGCGTGGGCCAGCCTGACCAAGAATAACTCATTTGATTGAAGTTTGCAGTTTGTAAGATCCTAAATTCTTTCCTCGTTAGCTGCTTTGACCTCTGGGGCCATTTGAAACAATTCTGTTGCGTGCATTTTGGATTTTTAAAATTTAATAATTGATTTAAAAGTCCAAGAGTTTGGGGAATAAGAGCACCCGTGCACGACGCTGGGCTGTTGCCTGGCGGGAAGAGTCCAGGCAGAGCCCGGCCGACAGCGCGATGGGGACGCAGAGCCGGGATGGGGCCGGAGAGCCGGGATGGAGCCAATGACCCGGCAGCGATCGCGGTCCTCTGCTCCGGGGTGCCCTGGGTAGGACGCGGCTCTCCTCCTGCGCCTTGTTTCTCTGACCAGATTGGGCTAAAAGTAAAAAGTAAAACAGGAGGTGAAACCCCTTACTTCTGTTTGTTAATCTTTCTTCTTCTATCTTTCTTTCTCTTTTCTTTTTTCCCCCCCTTTTCTTTCTTTCTTTTTTTTTTTTTTTTTTTTTTTTTTATTAGCAGGGCTCCTTTTTTCTCTCTCTTTTGCCTCAATAGAAAGAAAAAAAGTTTTGTCAGCACTCCTGTTTCTTTTGTTGTTTTCTTTTTCTCAGAAGTCTTTTCTGCTTTTATCCTAATCCCAGGCATGCATGAGGGAACAGTTGTGCTCTGTTGTTTGTCTGTTCTGGTAGTTTTGAACCAGTAGGGCTCCCGCTTTGTTCTCTTTATTTTCTGAACACAGAAAGGTAAAAGAGTAGGAATAGCGATTGAAACTCTTAAGAGAAACCTTCGATATTTATTTAGATTTAATTCATTTTTTTGCCATGTTGGTAATAATTAAGGGATGATGACAAATAAAAAAAAAAAAGGGAAAAAAAAAGAACGGAAAGGAAAGAAACCTCTTTTCCCTCCTCTGAGATCAGCATTTTGCTACCCCCAGAGCATTTTTAACTTGTACCCCTCCAGACGCTGTGTTTTTAACTGTGTTGTCCAATTTATTCACTCTCTGGAACAAGACAACAATTTAACATATGCCAGGGTTGTGGTTTTTTTCCCTGCACACAGAATTTCTCCTTTGTAGAGCTGGCTTTATGATTTGAAAAGCAGTGTTAGGCTGGTTTACCTGATGCGATGTCAGCCTGATTTTTCAAGTCAGGTCTGGGTTATAAGCCTTATATTTATGGCTTTACATACGCTCTGGTGCTTCTCATTTTTTTGGGGAGCATGTTGTAGAACTGTCACTAAAGCTTTTTTGTGATTTTGTAGGTATTTCTTTACTAGTTAGGCATACTGGCTGATAAATTGCCTGAAATGTTTTAACAAATTAAACTAAAACTAAGCACAGATCCATCTGTTTCTGTTTCATCCCTGCAAAACAAACCTTTTATGATTTTGGTATCCAACATGTGCTTGTTCTCTGTTGCCATGGAGATGCTGTAGGCCCGAAATTTTTTTTTTCACAGGCTCTTACGATGAAGTTTTTTTTGAGAACTGTTTTGATTAATTTTTCCTCCACTTCAACTTCTCTCTCACTTAAACTGTTTTCCCCTTTTGTTTCCCACTTGATTTATGGCAGGTCACTGTCATTTAAATAGATGCGCGTTTTGAAATTCCTTCTTTCTGTTCGAATGCAAAGAAAAAAAAAAAGATAAAAAAAAAATAACCCATGCAAGTCATGCTCAAAGACTTGGTTATTGTTGCTTGTTGGATTTCTGCTCTCTGTGGTTGTCGGGCCTAATTCAAAGTAATTCAGGCTACTCAGTGGGGGCAGTGCATAGCTCCACAGGAAATTATGATAGCAAAAGTCTTCCTGTAGAGCTCTACACTTGGCACTACAAAGTGCCTTGGGCTGCAGTTACCTGAATAGGGTTGAATTAGACCAGACAACCGCATCATCCCACTTCTTAATCTATTAGAGCGATATACAAGTGGCAATTGTTGATTGCAAAAATGGGATTAAGAGGCTCTTCAAGTGAATTGATTTTCTTGTGAGAACAAAAAGAGGAAAGAGAAGGCTCGTTTGAATCACACAGCCAGAAAGTTCGTGAATGGGTTCCACTCCAAATGTTAGAATTAAAGCGACCAGTATTTCCCCATGGAGCACGCAGGTGAGAGGAATAAAGTGCTGAAAAATAGAAAATTATGTCTAAAACTTAAAGTTTGCGGTGCTGTCACCAAATCTCAGCTCTCCCCCTGCCACCCCTCCCTCTCTGCTCCTGGCAACAACAACAAATCCTTGTTTCAGCCAAAGACTTTGTTGCTCTTCATCAGCCTCTGCTTATTATTCTTTAATCTTTATTTTTACCGATGTGTTTCACTTATTTATTTTGCTTTAAGTCGGGGAAGAAAAGGGGAGAACAGCTGCTATGACTCTTCCTGGTTTTCCCTGAAACTTTCTGCTTATTCCTTCCCCCTACCAAGATCAAAGCAGTGCTGTGTCTCTCCCAAGGGACCTCCAAAATGTGGTGCCTGCACTGTTCCAGAGTGACTCCTCAGGAGTTTCACCCTGCCCTGCCAGTGCTTGCTTTTCCCCTCAGGGCTACTGTTTTCCCTGCAACCACAAGTTTTTTGTGGACAAGTGTCATAAATCTCCCATTAACCTCCATGTATTATCCACTGGGAAGAGCAGAGCCTGGTGTCTGGTCTCACTGGGATGTCTCCTGCTATTTATTTTTGGATGGCTCTCAGTGATGCTGGAAATCCTTTTACCTGAGCTGAAAGGCAAGTTGATGAGTGTGCATGTGGTGGGTACTGGGCTGCAGGGAACATGGTGGTGAAGGCATGTCCTGCACTGAGTGTAGCAGAGAACAGCACTCAGACAGGGCTCTCTGTCAGTGGTGTGGAGAATAGAAATGACACCCAGCCAGAAAAAGGAGCTGCTGGAGCAGATGGAGGGAGCCTGGTGCTGTCGTTGGCATTGGGAGGGGATAGAGAGGATGGTCCCCTCTGAGGCACAGGGATGAGAAACATTCCCTCCCACCACAGAAGCATGACAGCTCAACCTGGGAGCTGGCACCAGGGCAGAGGTGCAGGGAATGAGCCACTTAAAAGTGGCTTCAGAGATTCTGGGGAGGGGAAGAAGCAGCTGAACTAGACCTTGCTCCGTGAGTTGGAGGGGATGTGTCCATCCTCATCACGTCAGCGCCAGCACAACTGTTCAGGCTTGTTGTGGGGTTCGTTTGCTCTTTGTTTAAATTTGTTGTCATAGGCTTGTTTACTCACCTGGCCTGGTAAGTGGCTTGATGAGAAGTATCTTGGAGCAGAAAGGGCTGATGGAATCAGTGTTGTGAAGTGGGGGGGCACAGCCACCAGGGAGGCTCTCACCCCAGTGCTTTGGGAAGGGGTAGAAGCAAATTTGGAGTAATAGCACCATTTCAATATTTTACTTTTATTTCAGAAGATAGTTATATTGTTGCAAAACCTTTCCTTTTGTGTAGGCAGTTGTAGGAAGGGCCTGGGTTTCTATGGCACGAGAGACTCTCTTATACCCAAAGCACCCTATGTGCACGTTCACAAGTGCTGCAAATCCAAATGAAACAAAAGACCAAATGTGTCTCCCACAGAAGGTTGAATTCATACTTCCCTGAAGCCTTCACCATGAGCAGCCACTTTAAGTCTCTTCCCAGCACATTCCAGCCCTTCCCACCTCTCACCCAGCTCTAAGAGTTTTACAGAGTGTCCTTTCCAAACACCCATGAAAAGGTTTCCCCTTTTCATCTCTTCTGCCCCACGAAAGGATTTACCCCAAAATCCCAGTCACAGGATTCCAGGAGCACCCACCACGTGTCAGCATCCATGGGCAGCAAGCAGGCACGAATTCCTCCTTTGCAACAACATTGCTTTCTCTAACTGCAACGTAGTAATTGCTCCGTATTTAATTACCCGGGATTGCATCAGGTCTGCGTGGCGTATTTGCGTGCGCACTATCAATTATGTCATAATAAATGAATTTCCTTTTCAGGATTCCCTGCAGCCGATGGCTGGGCTTCTGTTCCTCCTTGACTGTTCTGACTTTGAACAGGTTTATTCAGCTGTTGTCTGCTAAGCCCTACAGAAAAGAACAATAGCTTCTGATCTGCCTTTTATGGGTTATTGGGAACTGGTGGTCCGCACTACAGCTTTGGTCAGTGATTAACCAGAGTGAAAACAAACTACACAAGGCTAAGTTGATGTTGGAGGAGGAATGAACCCACTTCATTAAGGCTTTAAGAGGAAACCTTTTCTTCTTCAATGCTTGTTCACAACTTTTCAGGTCTCTATTTAATCACGTAATTCTCTCTAAGTAGGAAGAGAAGCTTGCCTCACAGCGAGAGGTCTTTTGCCACATGACAACTTAGAAAGATAAATTATATATAAATATCTTCATGGTTTTGTGGAAAGGAAACCAAATTCAGTTTTACTGCATGCAGCTAATTTACCAGTTTCTTAGGTGCTTCCCAGTGTCCCACTGAAGGAGAGGAAATCTTTGCTGCAATTGCTTTAACTTTTGGCGTGTGTGTGTGTAGGGTGAACAAATCATATCTGATCAGGGCCAGACACTGGCGGCCAACAGGGGCCAAGGGCAGATGAAGAGGCAGCAATAATAGCAACCCTCCTTTATAGCACCAGTGAGCCAAAATGGAAGTGTTCCCCAGGGTGGGATTTTATTCCATCTCCAGAGAAATCACACCCTCCTGTATCTCAGGATCTCTTTTTGGCTAGCACCCCAGGGAGCTGAAAGGGAAGGCAGGAGATTTGGGGTGAATAAATTTGGTGTTGGTGAACATGATGAGTGACTCCAGTCCATAAGGTCCAGCCCTCGTGCTGTGCTGGGCAAGTGCATCACTTTGGGGTGGCCTGTGGGCTTTTGTTTAGCATAATTTATTTTTAATTTTTTTTTGAGCATGGCAGTTAATTATGGTTTGGAGAGCATGTGACTTCAACCTAAAGCACAGCAGTAATAAATCAAGCCACTGACTCCTCTGGGGGTATCCACCACCAGCAAAGTCCACTATTGCTACAGCCTCTGTATTTCCAGCAGTGCAAGGCAGCAGCCCCTCCTGGCTATCAGTGTATACTGGGAGGGATATCATGTGCACTGGGAGGGATAACCCTGGGAAATGCCAGGGAGCTGCTTGCTGAGCACCTTCAGCCTTTTTACCAGTTTCCAGGACAGCAGAGATCTTCATCAGACAGATGCCCGAAATGCAAAGGGACATGTGTTAATCTGGTGCTTGTGGGATGGGCATGGCTGATCCAGGCTCCTGCTCATGTGCTGGGATGAGCAGGGGTTGGCTTTGGGGCCAGGATGGAGCAGGTTGTTGGTGGATGGGTGCAGGTCACCTGGTCTTCTACTTTTTCCCTCCAAGAGCTCCAGTGGAGCCGTGTAGAAGATCCCACTGAGCAGAGGAGACTGTACCACTGGGCACTGTGCTGCTGGCAGGGCTGACCCACCTGGGTGCAGCAGTCTGTCTTCTCTGCAGTTCACTCAACACCCTGAAACTCCCCATTCAACATCCCAAATTCAACATGAATCCTGGATTTGAGTGCTCAAAATCCCCAACTGTGGCTGTAGGGAGACCAAAGGTGGTTTCCCAAAAGCAGGGGGCACACAGCACAGGGTGAGCCCCTGCATGCACCCCAACACCTGCATGCACCCCAACACCTACAGCTTTTCGAGGGCTGGTCCCTTCTCCTGCCAGCTCTGAGACATGGTCCTATTCCTAAATATTCTTCCCAGCTACCAGGAGGGGATGTATCGTTCCCTCAGTGCTTGCCCCAAGTGATGTACATTGTTCCTCTGCTCCCTCTTTGTAGGGAAAGCACAGACCTTGATGAAAGGGCATTTGGAGAGAAGCAATCTCTAGTCCCAGTGAGGCAGGAGGGCACCAAGAATGTGAGTCTTGCCTGGGGCTCCCTCCACACTCGGAGAAGCCATGGATAAGGTTTTTCTGTGCTCTTGATTGCAGCAGTGCACCAAGGAAGGATGGACCCACCTGGGGTAGGAACAGGAAAACCATCAGTCCCCTCTTGGGGGAATGGTGGCTGCAAGTAAACAGGTTGGGAGATATGGGAACAAAGAGGGTAAAACATCTGTAGATGAGGTCTCCCACTTCTCATGAAGGCAAGAAAAGTAATGGGTGATGGTTTCCTCCTTAAATTGAACAGCAAGGGCACAATTTCCCCTCAGAAAGGCATTGTGAAGCACGATTTTCCATAAACCTAGCAGTTTGTTTTCTACAGGTGTTTTGTAAATTGATTAATTTGGGGTACAAAAATGTTTAAATACTTCATTAGTTGAATTCTTTGAACTCGAATTAGAGGAGCTTGTTGAAATAATTTAATGAAGCGCTTTGGTAGGAGTGGAGGGGGAGGAAGGCTGGGACTCTGGGGTGGGAGCAGCCTGGGTTTGCAGCAGGTGAGGATCTGGCCCAGTGCACGGTTTGGCTATTAAATTACAGCACTAAGCTGTCTCAATTAATAATTAAAATCTATGTTTAAATAATTCATCAAAGGAAAATGCTTAAATTGCAAACTTGAGATTTTTGGGGTGAGTTCAGACTCAGGCTTCAAATGTGGGAGAAATTCGGATAGCTAATGCACCAACATGAAAACGGGATTTCAAAAGCTTCAGCT